GGTCTGGCATGCCTGTAGCCCAGCTACTCGGGAGGGCTCGAGGCAGGAGGACTTGGTTAGCCCAGGAGATTGAGTGTTTCTCGTTGAGCGAGGCTGACGCCACGGCACTCACTCTAGCTGGGAGACACAGTGAGACTGCTGGTTCAAAACTAAAAACTAAAACCCAGGGGAGCATCCCAGTTCCAGCTCCTGGGTGGCGCGCGCAGGAGCGGGGAGACGGCGCCGCACCCAGTTGCGCCCCACACCGGGCACGCCATGGCGGCTCGTCTCAGCTTTCTCACGGGCCCGGAGGCCGATGCGCTCACATTTTGGAGAAACATAAAGAAAAGGAGGGAAGTCAGCAGGGAGGAAGCAGGTCTGTCGATCTCCAGTCAGCCGTCTGGGAGGGGCGCGAGATGAGGCCCAGCCCCGCTTTGGTGGAGGGGGCTGCAGGACCCGTCTGTCTGCCGCCTGGCCAACCCGCGCGCCCACCGCACCCACCGGCCACACGGCTTCGCTCCTGCCACAGGGCCTTTGCACCGCCTCTCCCTCCCGACCGCTCTCCCACGCCCGCACTCGCGCTGCCCGGCCTGCCCGGGGCCTCCGCTCCGAGGGCCGCTGCACCCCGCCCTGAGCGCCGGCCCTGCCTGTGGGGGACACTGCGGCCTCAGCCCCGCCCCGCGCACCCACCTGGACAGCTCCTCCAGTTTGACTTGGCGTAGTCCAGGCTGTTGCGCTCGACGTGCTCGTGGGGCGTGTGGGCCAGGAGCTCGTGCAGGGTCAGGATGTACCTGGGGATCTGCCGCGGGACAGGTGGGGAGACAGAGGCGGGGAGACAGTGTCAGCCAGACAGGTGCAGAGAAGAGGTGGGGCGGTGGACCAGTGAGGAAGTGAGAGGAAGAGCAGAGGAGAGAGGAATGAGAGAGGAAGGGATAGTAGGAGGAAGGGAGGAAAGGAGGGAGGGTGGAGAGGAAGGGAGGAGGAGAGGGAGGGGAGGAGAGGAGGGGAAGAGGAGAAGGAGAGGAGAGAGGGAGGAGGGGAGGGAGAGAAGGGAGGGGAGGAGGGGAGGGGAAGAGAGAGAAGAGAGAGGGGAGGAGGGAGGAAGGGAGAGGAGGGGGAGGAGGGAGGGAAGAGGAGAGAGAGGTGAGGGGTAGGGAGAGAAGGGAGGAGGACGAGGAAGGAGGATGGGAGGAGAAGAGGAGGGGAGGAGGGAGGGAGGAGGAAGGAGGAGGAGAGGGGAGAGAGAGGAGGAGAGGAGAGGGAGGGAGGAGAGAGGGGAGAGAACGAGAGAGAGGAGGAGGAGAGGAGGGAGGAGGAAGGGCAGGCAGGCACGGGCCGTTGCTGGTTTCCCAGGTTCCTTCTCTGCAGTGTAGACAGGGCCTTGCCCAGGTGGCCTTGGCGTGTCTGTCCCGCGTCCAGTAAACTCTGACCCGTCCTGGGGGGGGGGCCATGGGGGAGGGGACAGACACGCTGGGCGCCGGCCGCCCTCCGGCCTTGCTCGGGGCCTCCGCCCTGGGGCCGCGCGGCCCTCGTGGTAGGAGGCCTTTGCCGCCTTCCGCCGCGGCGCCCGGGGCGGGTTCGGGGAGGCCCAGCCCCGGGGGACCCTCTGCGGCCCAGGGACCGATGTCCCACTCAGGGATGCCACGCACATGCACACACACGTGTACACACGCACATGCACATGCATGCACACACGTACACACATGCACTCGCACGTGCACACACGCACGTGCACATGCACATGCATGCACACACATGCACACAGGCACACTTGCTCGTGCACACATGCACACAAGCACGTGAACACACGCCGTGCACATACGTGCTCACGCACACACGTGCACACACACATTCAGGCTCCACGCACTGCGTCGGCGTCAGCCAGGCCGCCAGTCCGTTCCCGGCAGGGTGATGCACGACGAGGTCAGCGAGACGGAGAACCATCCGCGAAAGACCTGGCCCATCAGCGCAGCATCACCGAGCGGCTGCCCGAAGATCCTGCTGGACACCAGCCAGACCTTCGTGCGCTAAGGGCAGGACCCGCCCCGCCCCCGACCCGCCCCACCCCGTCCCCACCCCGGCCCGCCTCCATCCCCGCCCTCAGCCCCGCCCGCCTCCGTCCACCCGTCCCACCCAGCCCCGCCCCGCCCGCCCCCAGGCCCCGCCTCCGGCCCTGCCCCAGCACGCCTCCGGCCCCGCCCGCCTCCAGCCCGGCCCCGCCCCCACCCTGCCTCCCCACCCCACCCAGGCCCGCCTCCGTCCCCACCTCAGCCCCGCCCGCCCACCCTGCCTCCATCCTGCCCCGCCTGCCCCCCACCCCGGCCCCGCCTCTGGCCCCGCCGCCTCGCCCCACCCTGGCCCAGCCCCGGCCCCACCTCGGGCCCGCCCCACCCTGCCTCCCATCCGGCCCGCCCCTGCCCGCTCTGTCGCCCGTTATCCCGCCACCCCCAGGGCCCCGCCACTGCCCTGCCTCCGTACCCAGCCACCGCCCCTGGCCCCGCCTCCGGCCCCGCCCGCCTTGTCCCTGCCCGCCCGGCGCCCCACCCTGCCCCACCGGCCCGCCCTGGCCGTGTGCCCACAGCGCATCTACACAGGCAGGCACGGGCCGTTGCTGGTTTCCAGGTTCCTTCTCTGCAGTGTTAGACAGGCCTTGCCCAGGTGGCCTTGGCGTGTCTGTCCCGCGTCCAGTAAACTCATGGACCCGTCCTGGGGGGGGGCCTTTGGGGAGGGACGACCACGCCGGGCGCACGG